GGGGTATCAGGAAGGGCCTGCCGAGCTCTCTGGCTGCTGTAGCGAGGCCGGCATCGCCAAGCACCGCATGTATGGCGCAGTCAAGTGAGGAGAGAGCTGCTGGACAATGTTGCACGCACTGCTTCTGGGCATATGAGTGAAATTGAGGAATGCGCGGGCTTTTCCGCCACTGAAACGTATGCGTGCTGCACCGCACCGCGACTGTAGAGACAATACGGGTAGATTCTGTATTGATCGCTTTGCAGTTTCGCCGTCGTGATCCAGATCTGGCTCCAACAGCGTTGCGAGCTGGATCAACTAACGCGAAACAATCGACGGCAAAACTCACCTTCAGCAACATTGTAAGCGCACGGCGGCCAGCGGAGCATCCACCTCGAGTTGGAAGCAGCGACAGCAAGCGCAGCGGGCAGAGAGGGGCGCTCGGCAAAGCGTAGCAAGCAGCGATCTGCGCCATGGCGGCAGACACGGAGCCGCCCTCCAAGAAGGTCAAGTTCAGCCCAAAGGTGCAGGTGCAGGAGCTCTATAAGTGCACCGCCAATGACGCCTTCACATGGTGGGCGGATGCACTTGCCCAATGCGGCCTGCGGACCAGGGGTGCACCGCCCTCCCCATCCCACCAAAACCCGGCAGCCCACTGCTCTCGGCTGATCAAGGCGCCACTAAGCGCTCTGGCAGGTAACGCTGATTTGCAACCAGCAGCCGCGGGGCCACATCAGGTAGCGGCGGCATGCACGAGCGGCGGCCTGCCCCACTCCTCCATCCCGCCTGCCGCCCCCACGCAAAGCGTCACCGGAAGCGCGGTGCCCCGCGAAACCCGTTCCCCCCTCACACACGCACCCAAAACACCAGGCACTTGATCGACGCCTCGAAGCTGGACCAGGAGCTGTCGTCTGGCGGCCACATGTTCAAATGCGAGTACTACAACCAGCCCTTTGGGGAGAACGAGGAGATCACCGGATACAAGGGGCTGGCTGTGGACGTGTGGGTCGACGGCGGCAGCTTCCACACATGGTGAGGGCCCCTGCGCGCATGCGGCGCGCACGCCGCGCCGCGCCGCGCGGCTGAAGTTAAAGGCGCGGCCCCTGTGCGCGCAGCAGCGGCGCCAGGCAGAAATGGGCGATGCTCGGCGCCATTCCTGTCCGGCGGACTGACGTCCCCCTTCAAGAGTGATGTATGAAATATTGTCAAGGCCGTTTACACTCTCTGTTCTGCATGTTCCACCAGGGTGGACATCCGTTATGAGGCCAAACGCCCCAAGGCCACAGACATTCACGCAGCCCTGGCCGAATGGTTCCCCGCCGGCTACAGCCGCACCCGCCCTGAGTTCGAAAAGGCGATCGCCGCGGCCGCCACCAGCGCCGGCGAGGAAGCTGCGGGGAAGCTGCCGTGGGGCGAGCTGGGGCGGCGGGTGGCAGACATGAAGCTGGAGGTGGAGGGGGAGCCGAGGCTGGAGTTGCGGCATGTGAAGCTGGCTGAGGCGCCGCAGTGGGCCAAGGTGAGTGGGCTGGGTGCGGGTCGCAGTCATCTCAACTGTGGTTTGTGTGAGGGCAAGGGATGGTCTTTTGGAGGCGCGGCTGTGCTTTCGTGCTTGCGCGCATGCGTGTAAGTGCAAGCGTGCCTGTGCGTGCGTGCCTGCTGCAATCACGCGTTTGGATGCGCTGCTGCGACGTGCTGCCCTGCCCCCCCAACCGCCGAGCCCGCCTGGCGACCCGGCCCTGCCCCTGCCGACGCCGCCGCCGCGCGCACCGCCGCAGGACCTGCATGGCCGCCTGGAGCCGCTGCTGATATTCACAGTGGACGGGGCCAGCTTCATAGACCCGGAGGACGCGCGTTGGGAGCTCGTGGCTGCCGTGATGGACGATGGTGGGTGATCTGATCTGTTATGATCTGACTTGATCGTGGGCGCACGCCGCAGGGGTCGGCGTGCCGTAGAGCGGGGGCGGCGAGGCGAGCTGGTGTTGCTGGAGCAGCCAGGGGCGCGGCTGCGGCCGCGAGCAGATGCGCTGCCGCGGAGTGCATCGCACAGGCCGTTGTTGCTAAACCTGGGCCTGCTGCCCGCTCCCTGCATCTGCCGCTTGGCGAAAATGCCCAGCCCTCTCGCCCCTCGCGGGGCCAACCGACCGCGCCCCGGCAGGTTCCAGGCAGCTTCTGGTCGGCTTCATGACGGTTTACAACTTCTACGCGTGGCCGACCACGTCGCGGCCCCGCGTTGCGCAGGTGCGGCGCCCGGGCCACGCATCGCCCGCTGCGTGCTTAATTCCAATAACACCCCTTGCTTCCTGCGAGCCGGTTGGCATTTCCAACCGTCAAGTGGGAGCCGATCGTAGTCTTGTCCAGCACGGAACACAGCCATCCACCTGAGGCATCAATTCAGCCGTCCGTCCGCCCGGGATGAGAGATCTAGGGTGCAGGGTCCAAGGGTTTCGTCCCGGAGATCACACAACCTGTCTGGGACAGGCGGGTTGTCAGTTGCATCCTCATTCTGACCTCGACACCTCAACACCGCGACCCCCCACCCCGCCTCCTGGCCCCACACCACACACATGCACACAAGCACGCAAGCACGAATGCACGCGCGCGCACACACACACACACACACACACACACACACACACACACACACACACACACACACGCATACACGTGCCCGCGCCCTCGCGCGCAGGTGCTGGTGCTGCCGCCCTACCAGGGTGTCGGCGTGGGCAAGGCGCTAGTCAAGGCCGCGTACGCCCTGGCTGCAGAGAGGGGCGCCAGCGACCTCGTGGTGAGCTGCTGCCCGGCAGTTAATTGTGTATATGTGTGTGTTTCGTGTGTTTTTAGGGCCGGCGCCCCCCTCCTCAGACATTGCAAGCGCGCCTGCTCTTGCTTGGGCATCAACGTCGCGCTCAGCTGGGCGCCGCCCGCGCCCTCGCGACGGATGGACGAAAAAGCAGCCACCCGGGCAAGGCCGCTGCCCCGCGGGGCGCGCCGGCGCCGGTGCCGCGCTGCCGCAGCCGCGCCAGCGTCGGCGCCGGCGGCGGAGCGCGCGGCAGGCTGCAGGGGCGGCTGCAGGGGCGAGGCCTGGGAGCCCTCGCGTCCCGCCGACACCACGCAGGGACCCGCAGCGCGGTGCCTGCACGCAGTCACAGGCACAGATGTCGGCGACCCCTCAACATCGCCTTCTCCCACCGCACCGCTGCCCTCCACTTGGCCCCCGATGATGTCACCGCTCACCCGCCGCCCCGCTCCCGCGCCGGCGCGGCCCTGCGGGAACCACCCAGTTTGAGGACCCCTCCCCCGAGCTGCAGCGGACGCGGGAGAAGCTGGAGGTGGAGATGCTGCTGAGTCAGGTGGCTGGCCACGCGGGGGGCGTGGGGTTGTGCGGAGAGGGGGGTGCCTGGCCCCTTGAATCGTACGACCTTGCAGCTGTGTGGCCCGCTTGAAGCCCAAACGGGGGTCCCCACATACGGCAGCCCATAGAAATAGAGACGGCCGCCACAGCGCAGCCCGCACAGCCTAGCGGAGGCCGACGGCGGCAAGCGATCGCATGCTTTCTGTGCAAACTCGTGTGGATTTGGGGGTTGGGGCGGGCACGCGGCGGCCCCAGCATTGACAGCCGGGGTGTAGTGCAGCGTCCTGGCGTCACTTAACGCCCCGCATCGCTGCGTGCGACCCATCCCCTGCCCCCCGCAGGACTGGGTGGTGTCCGCGATACAAACCGCGGTCGACGCGGCCGCGGCCGCGGCGTCAGCCGCAGACCACCCCAGCGGCGGCGCCGACGCAGCGGCAGCGGGCGCGCCCGCGCCCGACGCGGCGGCCGGCCCCAACCCCCTGGCCTTGCCGGCGGAGCTCGGGGCGCGCATTACCAGCGAGTTGAAGATCCACCACCACCACCTGGGCAGCTGCTGGGAAGCCGCCGTGTACGCGCACCCGGCGCTGAGGGGGCGGCCCGAGGCGGCCGCCGCGCTGCAGGGGTTGGTGCGGCGTCGGCTGCAGGAAGCACACGCGCAGACGGTGGACGACAAAACCGCTGGCAAGAAGATAGTAGAGGTGAGCGCGCGCGCACATGCGCACGTGTGTGGGGGGTGGGGCGCCTGCACGCTTGTATGCTTCGTGTGAAGATATGTGTAAACGAGCACATGACGTCATCCTCGCGCAGACGCGAGCGGATGCAAAGCGGATTCGCATGTGTACCTGCATCCCCCTTCGTGTGGTTTCGTGTGCGCAATGGCATTGAAACTTTGCCAAAGAGCAAGGACAGAGAGCGTTGTGCGCGCGGCTAGGGTTGGATTCGCACGCGCGTCGACGCTCCCGCGCGCTCGCCCGGACGGCCGACGCCGACTCTGAGCCGCGCCCCTGCATGCGCCTTGCCTGCCGAGGGACGCGCCTCGCAGCGCCCCCGAGCCGCCGGCGGTCCCAAATACCGCCCCGGCGTCCTCGGCCGCCCTTGTTTCTTGTGCTGCAGGTGGCCAATAAGAACAGGGAGGACGATCTGGATTTCTTCATGTGGCGCCCGCGCGGCGGCAAGCGCGGGGGCGACCAAGAGCCCGAGGCGCCGGCCACCCCCGCGGGCGGCGGCGGCGACGCGGCGGACGGCGCCGCGGGGCCGTCAGGGGAGGGCGTCGTAAACGTGGGGCGGCACAGCATCACGCAGGTCGGTGGTGGGCCGGGTTGATATGCCATCGTCTGCTGGGCGGCAGTTCGCGCCAGCAGGCTGCGGCGGGGGTTTGCACCCAGAGCATGCGCGGCGCCGGCAAGCCGCGGCGGATGCCGCCCCTCCCGCCGCTTTTGTGCGCGTAGACACGAATCAATGATCAGGCACATATTCTAAACTACATATATTGACAGTGGTTGCCTCATTGTGCATGCTGATTTATCACTGCTGCCCTCCGATCTCCGCGCGCCAGGTCAGCGCGGAGGAGTGGGAGGAGAAGCTGCAGGGCCTGCTGGCCGAGCGCCTGGCGCAGCTGGAGGAGCTGCGGCGGCGGCTGGCTGGAGAGCCGGGGGCGGACGAGGGGGGCGGGGGCGGCGGGGATTCAGGAGAGGGATCAGAGGAGGGGGAGGAGGAGGACGAGGGTTCAGAGTGATGGGTGCGACATGTATTCTGAGGTGCTAGCACTGTGCTGCCGCAAGGGCTCTGCTTCGCAACTTGAGTTTGTACTGGATGTGTGCGTCGACCTGGGATCATGTTATGTATGGTGATCGCATGTTATTGCACTTGGACTCTGGGGCGAGGGCGACAGGGACGGTGCAGGGGCTTGCCGGGCTGGGCATCAGTGCTATCAGCGGCGGCGATGTCATCAGGACAAGGTTGCTGCGGGGGTTGGCACGTGCCGCGATGGGCGCGAAAATCATCACGACACTTCTTCATCGCACAAAGTCTTGCTGGTATGCTGCGAGTTTACGCTTCCTTCATCTGCTGTAGTGCACACTAGACCAGCGTGGGCCAGTGCTGAAGTTCTTCCATCACTCGTGATTCCAGCGGGTGACGAGCGACAGTTGATGCTCTTCTCAAATATACTTCCAGCGTCACCGGCCTGCTCTGCCTCCTGTACGATGTACTGACGTCTCGTAACTCGAGTGACTCTGGCGGTGCATCCGAATGTGCAGCCCCTCAGTACACGCAATCCACATCGCAACCATCAATTCATTGTCAGGAATTAGAATAACAACGCCGAATCAGCCGTCACTTCAACCAGTCCTGCGCCATGGGCACTACTCGCCGCGCCGCACTGCCCCTCGCCACTGCTCTGCTGCTGGCGGTGCTGGCGGCCTGCTCCACCCCCATCACAGTCGCACAGCCTGCAGCAGTCTGCAGTAGCCCACTGGGAACATTCCCCTACAGGCTGGGCGACGGTGCGGCATGGGGACGCGCGCGGGGCGCCCTGGCGTGCGCGGCGACGGGGCAACAAGAGCAGCACTGCCAGCGGGGACAGCAGGCACTGCCATGGGGACCACGGTTGCGCTCACCCGCCGCGCGGCCCCACTTTCACTGTCGCGGCCGCAGGCCCCTCCAACCACGCCAAGCGCCTCAACAGCAAGAAGTGGCAGGACAACAACAGCGTCGACTTCCTGGCGCCGCCGGGCACGCCGGTGTATGCGTTGGTGGATGGCACAGTCTGCGACCCCGCGAAGGACTCTAAATGCGTGTGAGCAGGGGGCAAACATCACGTGCCCAAAAGGAGGGGTGCTGTCTAGGGGCGCCTCACTGGGCCCAGCCCCAGGGGTGAGAGGTCGTGCGTGCCCGGCGGCGCGCACGGCGGCGCGCCCGCGTCGTCGTGTCGACCCAGGCGCTTCCTGGCGGCTTGTATCGCTTCGGCTGCGCGCGCCGGCCCCGCGTTGTTTCCTCAAGCCTTCAGCCGCCCTGACCTGCAAACCCTCCCCCTGCCGCCTGCCATCCATTGTTTTTCGTTCGCTCGTGCAGGATAGGCAAGACCCCGCAGGAGCTGAAGGACAAGTTCTCCCTCAACAGCTTCTACCTGAACGGCGCGGACGGCAAGCAGTACTACTACACCCACCTCCAGTCAATCGCGGTCAAAGCCGGTCAAAAGGTCAAGCGCGGCGAGCTCGTCGCATACGTGGGCGCCTACAACGGCAAGAACGCCCACCTGCACTTTTCGGTCGACAGCGGGAACGTGTGCTCTGTGCTGACAGCGTGCGTCCCAGCGGACAGCCGCAGGTGTGTGTGAGCGCGGCCCAGCGGCCGGTGCTGGTGCTATGCACGGACGGCGGTTCCCCTGTGGGGCCCAAAACGGTCTGTTTTCTTACGGGGCCTTGACAAACTATCTGTATCAGTGGACATCGTGGGGTCTTGGCTGTCAGACTTTGGGTGCATTTGTAGGTGTCGTCGCTGTGTCGGCTGTTGATCTTCTCGAATCACGTACTGGAGCACTGGACCACTTGTAAACTGTCACTTGATCTACAATGCATGCAACTGGCAGGATTAACTCATATGCAATAGAAGTATACCTCCACTACCTTGGAGTCGTAGTCGGCCGTCACCGTCTCACAGGCGTGAAGTGGCAGGTGTGCGGCAAGCGAGTGGGGTATCCCTGCCCACACCCCTTCCACCAGGACTCGTACCGCAAATCACCTGAGCGTGACGGCGAGTCGATCATGCAAAATAGTAACGCTGTGTTTGCGGCAAGGGGCTGCAGGCCGCACATTGATTCACGCCAGTGCGCAAGGGTGTGTGCCGCTTGGATGCACCAACACCCAGGTGCCGACAACGCCCAGCAACTGCATACCGGTGTACCAGAAGGGACATCCACCGCTAAATGCTCAATCAGCCGTGTGTTTTGCACTGAGCCGTAATGCTTGGCGCCTTCGTTGGACCTTCGAACTTGATATCTGTCCGAAGACGGAGTATCACGGTAGTTCTCTTCATCCGCACTGGCGAAGGACGACTCGTGAACTATAATCCAACTTTTGTCAAGGCGCGCAAGGGCTTCCACAGCCATGCCTCGGCCCGCAGCACATGCACGGGCGAGGGGCAGCGTTGTCGACCCGTGTAGCGGGAGC